AGAGACAGAAGGAGACATAGAATCTGAAGCAGGCTCCAGGCTCTGAGCTGTCAGCACAGAGCCCGACACGGGGCTTGAACTCACTACCTGTGAGATCATGACCTGGGCCGAAGTCGGACAGGTCATGCCTTAACCAACTGAGGCACCCAGGTGCACCTATAGGGTTGTTCTTTTAAGTGAGATGATATATATGAAGCACACACGGTATGTAATAGTGCTCAAGAAATGTTACTGCTATTATTATTTTATCCTGATTATTTAGATTATTATTCAGATTGTAAAAGCAGTAAATATCATAGAAAATTTGGAAAAATGTAAAGGAGCTGAGAAAGTAATCAGTCTCACTATTGATGACATTTTGGCATACTTATTTCCAGGAAACCAGAATATTTCTCTATATTTAGATCTTTCACTAGAGGTGATACCTACTAGAATTTTTTGTTTATGGGAATATTTCTTGAGATTAATTTTTTGAACAAGAATAGAGACTGTGACCTTATGTATTAATACAGTGTCTGGCCCAGAGTAGACACAAAGTAAATATTTGAATTGTGCAGTTAGAACTTTGGGGAAGAGGGGTCCCTGGGTGGCTCAGTAGGTTAAGCATCCGACTTTGGCTCAGGTATCATCTCACGCTCAAGCCCCATATCATGTCCCCACATAGCATCTGGTTCTCTGCTGTCAGCATGGGGCCTGCTTTGGAGTCTGTCCCCCACTTTCTCTGCCTCTCCCCAACTTGCACTCGTACGCACGCTCTCAAAAATGAAAACATTTAAAAAAATTGTTGAACTTTGGAGAAGATTTTTTAATTTCTTGTCATTAATCACTGTTTTTTGCATTTAAAAACTGATTATAAAATGATTTGAGTGTAGGGGCACCTAGGTGGCTCAGTCAGTTAATAAGCATGTGACTTCAGCTCAAGTCACAGTCTTGAAGTTTGTGGGTTTGAGCCCCGCACCAGGCTGTGTGCTGAGAGCTCAGAGCCTAGAGCCTGCTTCAGATTCTGTGTCTCTCTTTCCCTCTCCCCCTCCCCTCCCTCCCTTCCTCTCCCTCTCTCTCTGAAATAATAAACTTGAAAAAAAATGATTTGAGTGTTAAAATAAAGATGCCGCATGGATGTGCAGTATGACTCCAGGAAGACTTGAGTTTATTATTCGATGAAGGGGTTAGGTACGGCATTTAAATGTACAAAGAGCTGAGTAAGAGAATGTTGAGAAGAATTACATTCTGAAGGTTGGGAACAATTATTTAATGACTACAGCCTTGAAACAGGTGGTTGTCAAAACTGCCAGAAAAAAAAATTTTAGCGGTAAACTGCCACAGCTCTTAGTCTCTGAGAAAGAGGCCTTCCCTGTCCCTCTGGAGCAGGAAGTGGGAACTTAACCTCCTAAGGTGGTATCTTGATGCCATGACTCTTTTGGGAGTAATGGCTTCCCTTTAAATCTGAAGGTCTTTCATTAGAAAAAATTAAACTGTGTGCAGAGAAAGACTAGAGGTGGATGAAAAATCTTGAAAACTGAGAGTTTGGAACAGCAGGGATTCTTATTAGTAATCTGTAAATACTGCTTTGGGACATTCTTGAAAGCCTTCCCTGTGCATATGAGAGCAACATTCAAGCACACTACCAAAGTTTTAAGTTAACTTTTAAATTATTTTTGACTTCAGTGAAAATAGAATACCTTATTAATAGTCACAGTAAAAGTACCTGAAATTGTGCTGGTGGTAACTCTAGAGGAATCTGCCAGAATCATTAAGATTTAACACTTCAAATTTAAAAGCATATATAAACATTGAAAGTGAAACAGATGTAAAAAGGAATTCATGGAAAATTAGTATTCCTCCCCACTTTTGTCTTTTTAAAAAGCTGCTTTAAGTGGTTTATTATGTGCAGCTCTTTTGGTGAATGGATTAAATACAATTTCAAGTTCAGGTCAGCATGTCTCACATGATACAGGTTGTTACTAAGAGCTTTGATTTTGACCTTATAAAGGCCTCTTTGTTCATACTCCACAATTATTCAGGTTCTAGTTTTCAGTAGATGTGAATGCTAGTGTGTGCTGCTCTTCAGGTGGAACAAGGAACTTTTTATAGAGCCTGGGTGAGTGCAGGAGGTCAGTTAAGTGGCAGAGGTTAAGGATAGTAGTGTTGATGGATACACTGTTTGTCAGGTCTTCACTTCCAGATGTGTTGAAAATTAAAGGAGCAAGATGACTTTTTAAATTTAAGATAATATCTCTTCAGTAACTATTGCTGTGTCATTGCCCCTTTTTGATAAATATTCCAGCAGTGATAACTTTTAAGCTACTGTCACTAATATTATTGTCACTTAACTCTGTGTGTGAGAAAATATTGATAGCATTTTACATTATAAATATTAGTCATCATTTTAGAGAATTTTAGAGATTCTTATAAAATTGTTTTTATTTATATAGGATTCAAGTTTAAAATACTATAATTTTGGGGTGCCTGGGTGGCTTAGTCAGTTGGGTGTCCCAACTCTTGATTTTGGCTCTTTGATTTTTGAGGTCATGATCTCACAGTTCATGGGTTCAAGCCGCATGTCAGGCTCTGCACCGTGTTCTCACTTCTGTTTTCTGTCCCTACCCCACTCATGCTTTCCTTCTCTCTCTCTCTAACAAATAAACTTACATTTTTAAATAAATACTACACTTTTGGTCACTTTCCCAGTGACATTCCATGTTTTTCTCATAAAAAGTTTTTGTTTACATTTCTGCCCTAAAGAAAATGCAAATCTTCAGAGACCACACCCTTCCATATATCACTTCATGTCTGGGTAAAAATATTGGCATATTTCTCAGTGTTTTAAGCTATTATAAAATGCAAGTTTTAAGGATTCTATCACTAAGTGCAGATGGTAGAAAGATTACCAGTTATTGCTATTTTAAATGATTGATCTAAAGGAGTTAAAGAACCAGTATGAATAGGCTTTTCTTTCTGTTAAATTAAAAAAAAATTTTCCCTGTTTACGAAAGTAATAATTCTTTTCTTAGAAAAAATTAAAATTTCCTTTGATTCTTAAACTGTTTGCATAATAATTATGTTTATGAGTACTATAAATGCTGATTTTGCTTAGGCTAAAAATGGGAGAGCATTATTTGAATAAGGTATACAAGATAAAAGTGCTATGTGAGTGTATGTTAGGGTTAAGAGTAGATCCTAGGGGATCAACCTTGATTAGATAAGATGAATTTCATTTTAGTACGTGAAGCTAGTTTAGCATTCATAAGCTTTTCATAGTTTACATGTTTTCCATCTGTATTTTTTTCTGTTCTAACATAAACCCTGGACTTGTGGCAAATTGGTCTTGATACACCCTGATGCTTTGTGTCCTTTCAAACCTCAGGGCCTCAATTTTAAGCTGTTCCTTTTGCCTCTAGAGACTTCCTCCTTCCACCATTGTAAATGCTCCTATCCCTCACAGCTCTGCAAGGTGTGCTAAAACTTTTTCTTTTAACACCCAAGATGTGATCTCTGCTGAGCTATTAGAACATCTATTTTCTTTTTTATCAATTTTATTTTAGTATCTCATATCACAGATTTAGAGATGGTCAGGAACATGTTTTTAAACATGGATGTTTTAAACATGGTCAGGAACATGGATTTTTTAAAAAAATCCACCACATCCCTGAAGATTACAACTTGCTCGTATTACGTATTTAATAGTGAATGATTATTAAAAATGTTAGCATTGGTTGTATTTTGTTAATGTTTGTTTATTTTGAGAGAGTGTGTGCATACATGTGAGCAGGGGACAGACAGAGGAGAGAGAATCCCCAGCAGGTTCCATGCCATTAGTGCAGAGCTTGACGTGGGACTTGATCCCACAAACCATGAGATCACAATGCAGGCTGAAATCAAGAGTCAAAACGCTCAACCGACTCAACCACCCAGGTGCTCCAGTTGTATTATTTTTATATAATGATAGGGTTCTCCACTCTCAAACAGATTAAGGTGCATGCAAATTAGTAATTTGTTTAGAACAGGGTTTCTCAAAGGGGAGTGCTATTCACATTCAAGCTGTATAATTCTTTGTTTTGGGAAGGTTGCCCTTTATGCATCCCTAACCCCCCACCGCAGATTCCCCCGGGAGGCAAAATCACCCCTGGTTGAGAACACTGCATTGGAAGAAAAAAGTGTATGGATTTCAAGACTTTTTTTTTTTTTTTTAAGTTTATGTATTTATTTTTGAGAGAGAGAAAACATGAGTCTGGGAGGGCAGAGAGAGAAGAGGGAGTGAGAATCCCATGCAGGCTCTGCACCTCCACTGTGAAGCCCTGTGCTTGAACTTACAAATGATAAGATCATGACCTGAGCTGAAGTCAGATGCTTTACCAATCGAGCCAGCCAGGAGCTCCAAGACTCTTCCTAATTATAGCTTATAGTGTGTATGAATGTTGTTATTCAAGGGTGGCTTTTGGGTAGAAATAAAATGTTTCCAAGTTCTTCAAATTTAACCATATTAAAAAAAATTTTTTTAGGGGTGCCTGGATGGCTCAGTCGGCTAAGCGCCCGACTTTGGCTCAGGTCATGATCTCACAGTTCATGGGTTTGAGCCCCATGTCGGGCTCTGTGCTGACAGCTAGCTCAGAGCCTGGAGCTTATTTCAGATTCTGTATCTCCCCCTCTCTGACCCTCCCTTGCTCACGCTGTCTCTTTCTCTCTCAGAAATAAATAAAACATTAAAAAAAATTAAAAATTTTTAATTTTTTAAATTAAATTAATTAAATAAATTAAGCTCTAGCTGTCAGCACAGAGCCCAACACAGGGCTCGAACCCATGAACTGTGAGATCATGACCTGAGCCGAAGTTGGACGCTTAGCCGACTGAGCCACCCAGGCGCCATTAACTTTATATAACTTAAGGAAATTATCTCAGGGGTTCTATTCTTATAAAAGTTGATGAGTGGAGGAAATTGCATTTTTTTAATGTTCTGTATATTTTACATTGAATAATAAATTTTGTTTGGTGTTTTCTTCCAGATTGAAATTAAAATGAAAAAGACAGAGGCTGTGAGATGGGAAAAGCTAGAAGGGCAAGGAGATGTGCCTACGCGGAAACAGTTTGTAGCAGGTTTGTTTTCTGGCTTTGATGAGCTTTAAATTCATAATGTGTTATATGGTTGAAGTTAAATAGTAATGGACTTTCTTTCTGCCTGCATTATTTATGTTCCCAAGATATAAACATTGAGTGTAATAAGTTTGCTCTGTAATGAATATAAAGTAGCTTTTCATGTGAAGGTTCTAACTTCTTAAACTCAGTACAAATGAATGGGGGCAAAAACCCTGAGGGAGTTGGGATTTATTGTTTGCCAAGTCTGGATAGGACGTCAGTTGGGGGTTGTTTTTGTGTGTTGCCGTTTCCTATTGCTTCTTTTTGGGTTGCAAGTGAGTTAGTGGTTTATTCTGCTGAAATAGTTGCTCCTCTTCCCTTTCCCTTTTATTTCTTTCTCGTTCTTAGAGAAGAATATAGAATATATTGTCAACTCTGATTTCCTGGAATTTCAGGGCTTAACAGAGTAAAGTATCTAACCCATTTCACTATATTGCTCCTTTAGTACAAGTGCTCATAAACAGGTCATGAAGACAGAAAAGCCCAGGAGAAGAGTATAAAACTAGGGTTGATTGTTTTTAACCCTTTAAGGGACAGACTACTTTATGTTGGGTCAGTTTTAAGTATATGCAGTAGACAGGTATTTTTCTTTTTTTTTTTTTTAAATGTTTTATTTATTTCTAGGAGAGACAGAGAGAGAGAGACAGCATGAGCAGGGGAGGGTCAGAGAGAAAGGGAGTCACAGACTGAAACAGGCTCCAGGCTCTGAGCTGGCAGTCAGCACCAGAGCCCGACGCGGGGCTCGAACCCATGAACCGCGAGATCATGACCTAAGCGAAAGTCGGACGCTTAACCGACTAAGCCACCCAGGCGCCCCTAGACAGGTATTTTTCTAATGGAATACTTAACCTGCTAGACACTCCTAGAACTACAATCTAAGAGTGTATTTTATAGCATTGGCTTCATTAATGAGAGAAGAGAAATTTCTCTTTGATTAGAGTTAGTGTTCCGATTTGATGACTAAAATGAGTTAACATTTTGTTTCATCCACTTGTAGATTTTTCACTGCTTTCTTCTTTAACAAAACACATTTCCTTGTGGCACCTTTTAAAAAACACTGAGCCAGTAAATTATTTTATTTTATTTTATTTTGAAATAATTTTAGAATCCCTTCAAATTTGCAGAAATAATAAGAGTTTTCAGGTACCCTTCACCCAGCTTCCTTGCATAATAGCATCATAACTGGTCTATGGAGTAATTAGTAAAACGAGGAAATTGACACTAACAGTAATAATTTTTTAAGTATTGAAGTATTTGAAGTTGGTATTTAAGCTCTTAAGCTTTTGCTTTCACACTTAAGTTGAAAGACATAGGAAAGATGTCATGTGGTTCTTTTCGGGCTGACTTTTCCAAGATTTGGGGGCTGAGGTTTATAGATAGTTCAAATATTTTTTTAAAGAAACACTTTAAATGTAGTATACCACTGAATTCTAACAACAGCCCTCTGAAGAAGGCAGCCCTGTTTTACAGGCTCAGAAAGTAAGCAGCTTGCTTCAGATCACCTGGCAGTTTTATTGTCGAGGACTAAATCCTGGTCTTCAGGGTCTGGGTCTGGGTCCCACATAAACTCTGTATGTGGTACTGGTTGTTGCTGCATCTTCTAACATTGGAAAAATCTCTGCTGACATGAGTATCTTTGCAATTATTTGATATTCTAATGAACAAGACAGTAAGGTTACCATTCCTCAGTAGTTTATCTTTCATCTAGAGTTGTTAAAATTTTTCCGAGATTAAATCTAAAGAATTTTTGGTGTTATAGTTGCAGAGTTTTTCTAAACCCAGTGCCTTGGATATTTCAGATGTTATTCCTCCTGTCCTATTTTATTTTTGTAAGGAATTAATATGCTTGTCAGACTCTTGTGTCCTGCAAGCTGGAGACTACAGATAAGGGCAAGCTGCTTAACCTGCCTGGGCCCGTTTTCCTATCTGTAAAGTGGAAGTTAGAACCTATGTTCCCATTCTTCTGGGGAGTCAGCGTTAGGATTAATTAAACCCATTTTTTTTTTTAGACTCTTAATTTACCATAACATGCATTTTTTTGTTTTCTTTGGCTACTAGTGAAAATGTACATAGATCGAGAGGGGATTACTGGTAGTAGAAGAGTAGATAGGAAGACCATATGCTTGCCCTAAATAAAACTGTGTGAGGTGTTACGGGTTGGTTTAGTTTTGCTGGGAGATAGGGAGAAAGTTGGCTTACAGGTGAAGGGAAAGGATGGAACAACAAAATGAACAGTTAGTGGTTTCTTATTTTTGAACTGTTTTGAGGAACAGGATATAAAGAGGCAGTAGTGGAAGAGGGACATTTGGTGTGTCCTAATATATGTATAAAGAATAGTAAATACATATGTATTTTTTAATGTGTGTTGATTCTTGAGAGAGAGAGACAGACAAAGCATGAGGGGGGAGGGGCAGAGAGAGGGAGACACGAGCTCCAGGCTCTGAGCTCTCAGCACAGATTCCAATGCGGGGCTCGAACCCACAAGCCATGAGGTCATGCCCTGAGCCGAAGTTGGACACCTAACCGACTGAGCCACCCAGGCGCCCCATATGTATTTTTTTTTTAGTGTGTCCTAATGTATTAGAAAAACTTTGAATCAGGTGTTTTTTTTGTTGTTTTTTTTTAAAGCTCTGTAGCTACACTTTCGAGTATAGTCGCCACTGTATCTATTGAGCATTTGAAAATGACTAGTCTGGATTGAGTTGTGCTGGAAGTGTACTGGAAAATGCCAGATTTTCAAGACCTTATGGAAGAAAAATTATAAAATATTTTAATATATTGATTTTGTGTTGATGTTGATACAGTTTGGGATATGTTCGGTTAAATATATTATTAAATTGCATTTCACCTGATTCGTTTTAGTAATGTGGTTACTAGAAATTTTTGAATTATATATGTGGCTCACATTTGTGCCTGCATTATATTTCCATTGGAGACTAAACAGAACTGTGCTTACAGCTACTAAGTAGATTAGTTACTTTTTAATTATTTGTGTGCGGGTGCTCTTTTTTTTTTTTTTTTAATAATATTTTTATTTCTAGGAGAGAGAGAATGAAGCGTGAGCAGGGGAGGGTGAAAGAGAGAGGGAGAGACAGACTCCGAAATAGGCTCCAGGCTCTGAGCTGGCAGTCAGCACAGAGCCCGAAACGGGGCTCGAACCCACGAGCCGCGAGATCACGACCTAAGTGAAAGTCGGACGCCCAACCGACTAAGCCACCCAGGCGCCTTAGTCTTTAAGGCAGTCTTGGCAGTGCCCTGAGCCTCTGGGCTAGCCAGTAGTCTCTCTGGCTGCAAGCAGCCACCATTAACTCCAGTGTGCTCTGCAGATACTATTAGTTTCTGTGTGTGCAATAGTGGACATTGAGCTCTGAATTATCACATCGTGTATTTTTCATCATTCAAGAATTCTTTATTATCTCCTGTTGAAGTAATCTAATATATTAATGTGGGGAGAGGATGGAGTCTTAACTCACTGTGTAATGTTATGGATAATTATATTTTCAGTTTATATTTACTCTGAAAGATAGAGGAGTACCTAAGAAACTAAGCCACATTTTTTTAATTTAAAGCTTATTTATTTATTTGTTTTGAGAGAACAAACGAGCAGGTGAAGGACAGAGAAAGAGAATCCCAAGCAGGCTCCGTGTGGTCAGTGTGCAGATCCCAACACGGGGCTCAGATTTATTATAGGGGTGCCTGGGTGGCTTAGTCAGTTAAGTGTCTGACTCTTGATTTCAGCTCAGGTCATGATTTCACGTTTCATGAGATAGAGCCCCGCGTCAAGCTCTGTGCTGACAGTATGAAGCCTGCTTGGGATTCTTTCTCTCCTGTTCTCTCTGCTCCTCCCCAGCCCTCTCAAAATAAATAAATAAGTAAGTAAGTAAGTAAATAAATAAATAAGAACACTCACTGTCTCTCTCTCTCCTTCTCTCAAAATTAATAAACTTTACCAAAAAAACCAGACATTGGTTAGGAAATTCAGTGAACTATAAAGTTAAGATGCTCTTTATACCATGGTCATGAAGTTTACATATTCTTGACATAATCATTACATGTTGATTAATCACTTCTATCTTTTTTACTCCATAGATGCAAAGAACTTGTATCCATCATCATCACATTATACAAGAAATTGGGATAAATTGGTTGGTGAGATCAAAGAAGAAGAAAAAAATGAGAAGTTGGAGGGAGATGCAGCTTTAAACAAATTATTTCAGCAGATCTATTCAGATGGTTCTGATGAAGTGAAACGTGCCATGAACAAATCATTTGTAAGAATCATTTGTACGCTTGAAAACAACATATTGTGGTAGTAAATTTCAGAAAATTTAAAAGAAAGATTAGGCAGTTTGAAACAAAATTGCATGTACTGTGGTTGGAAGGCCTTTTTGAATAGGCTTCATCTGAACATTTCTTCCTGCTCTAAACTTAAACTAATTATTGAGGAAGTTGGAAACTTGTGGGGTAGTTGACAAGTAAGTGGTTTATTCCAAATAAATATTTTTTAGTCATTAAGTTAGAACTTGGAAAGCTTAAGAAATACTCTAATTATGGTAGTTGTATTTATCACAGTAGCTAAAGACGCTTCCATTTGAACCATGTATACCCTCAGTGTCAGTGATGAAGAATATAGAAGGGAAGCTTCTAGAACATTTTTTGCCAAGTAGAAGGTGCACCTTAATTACTCATTGGTTTGTTAATAATTTTGTCTGTTGATTAAGAAAATGTAGGCCTGGGGCACCTGGGTGGCTTAGTCGGTTAAGCGTCCGACTTTCGCTTAGGTTATGATCTCATGTTCGTGGGTTCGAGCCCCGCATCGGGCTCTGTGCTGACTGCCAGCTCAGAGCCTGGAGCCTGTTTCAGTCTGTGACTCCCTCTCTCTCTGACCCTCCCCTGCTCACGCTGTCTCTCTCTCTCTCTCCTAGAAATAATAAATTAAAAAAAAATTTAAAAAAAAAAAAAAGAAAAAAGAAAATGTAGGCCTTTTGCCAGGGCAACAGATACCACCTGAATTAGGCCTCGTGTTCTGGGATTTTAATGACAAGTCCTCACTAGAGAGCTGTGTTGATTATTTTGCTTGAAGATGTAGTCATTTGACTTTTACCAGTAGCTTTGGAAATGTCACTCTTTTCTTTTAGGGCATATTCAAATTAGTTCATGTCCTAGGAACTCAGGTATTCCACATAAGTTACTATGTCATAACTGGTCATGATTGAACTTTTTGGCTGTTGACTTCTTTTACTTAAACTTCTTATTTTGAGATAATTATAGATTCATATCCAGTTGTAAGAAATAATATAGAGATTCCTTGTATCCTTTACACAGTTTCCCTAGTGGAATCTCCTTGCAAAACTATAGTATAGTATCACAACCATGATATTGTAATTTAAGACAGAGAATATTTCCACTGCCATAGGATTCCTTTGTTGTTGTCATTTCATAGCCATACCCACTTCCTTCTACCCCTCCCCCTCCTTAAACCGTACCACTACTAATTTGGCAAGTCTTTGGGAGATACATCGTTTGCAAATATTTTCTCTCAGCCTTTAGTTTGTCTTTTTATTTCCTTAATCTTTTGCAGAGCTAAAGTATTTAATTTTGATAAAGTCCAGTTTATCAGTTTCTCCTTTTACGGATCATGCTTTTAGTATCCAGTGTCAGAACCCTTTGCCTGGTTCTAGGTCTGAAAGATTTCTCCTGTGTTTTTTCTTTCAATAAAGGTTTTATAGTTTTACTTACTACATTGAAGTCCATGATCGACTGTAATTTTTATATAAAGCAGAGATGTAGGTTGAGGGCTTTTTTGTGTTTTGATTTTGGCCTGTGTGTGGTATCTTGCTCTAGACAGTTTGTTGAAAAAGCTGCCTTTCTTCCATGGAACTGTTTTTGCGCTTCTCAAAAATCAGTTGACTGTATGTGTCTCAATTCATTATTTCTGGATTCTCTGTTTCATTGAACTGCATGTCTATCCCTTTGTTAATAGTACAGTTGATTATTTAGCTATGTAAGTTTTAAAACCAGGAAGAGTCATTCCTTCTACTTTGTTCTTCATTTTCAAAATTGTTTTAAATATTGTAGTTCCTTTGCCTTTCCACATAAGCTTTAGAATATTTTGTCTGTAGGTACCAAAACGAATCCTGTTGAACTGTGTATCAATTTGGAGAGATTGACATTTTTACTGTGTTGAATCTTCCAAACATTCATTTAGATCTTTGATTTCTTTCATCAGTGCTGTGTAATTTTCAGCACATCCTCTACATGTTTTGCAGGATATGCCTAAGTATTTCATTTTTTTATTGAGTGATCGTAAACGGCATTGTGTATTTAACTTTGGTGTCCATGTGCTAGTATTTAGAAATAGTTGTGGGCTTTTTGTGTTTTTGGAGTTTTTGGGGGGGGGGGCTTATTTTATATTCCGACCTTGCTGAACTCACTTATTCTAGGAGATTTTTTTGTAAATTACTTGTGATTTTCTCTGCAGACAGTCATATCTTCAAATAGGGACTTTTTTTTTCTTTACCTGATATTTGTGGCTTTTATCTCCTTTTCTTACCATATTGCAGTGGCTGTAACGTGCAGCACTGTGTTGAGTAAGAGTGGTGAGAGTGGATATTTATGCCTTGGTCCCCATCTTAAGGAAAAACCATTCAGTCTTTCACCATTAAGTAGAATGGTAGCAGTAGGTTTTTTGTAGATACTATATCAGGTTAAACATTCTCTTCCTTGTGAGCGGCTCTTGACTTTTTGGAAAGTAGTTGTGAGGCTCACCACTGTACCACCAACACTGCACAGCTGGCTGTTGGCTTTTTGAATTTGAATGCTTTTTCTGGAGAGATCAATATGATGTAATTTTTTTCTTTAACCTGTTAACAGTAGTGATTTTATATAATTAATGTCACTGATTTCAACTAGAACCAGCCTTGACTCCTTTGGTCGTAGTGTATAATTTTATATATTGCTTTTATATATTGCTCAATTCTGTTTTCAGATACCTTGTTAAAGATTCATGAGGGATATTGGTCTTTAGTATTCTTTTTTTTTTTTTGTACTTTGGTTTTGGTATCAATGTAATACTAACTTCAAAAAATGAATTGGGAGGTGCTCTATCCTCTTCTATGTTTTGGAAGAGATTGTATAGAATTGGTGTTAATTTTTCTTCAGTGAAACCATCTAGGCTGGGACATTTCTTTTTTTGGGGTGATTTTAAATTAGAAATTTAATAGTTTATAGGATTGTTCAGATTATTTCATATTAAGTGTCTTGTGGCAGTTTGTGTTTTGGAGGATTTTTTCTGTTTTATCTAAGCTGCAGTGATACTCCATTTCATTTCTGTGATGGGAATTTGTCCCTCCCACCCCCAGTCTTGATGTTAGAAGTTTGTCAGTTTTAGTGATTTTTTTCCCCAAAGAGTTAGCTCTTTGTTGACTTCTATTTTTTTCAATTTTTTATTACAAATTTCATTTCATTTCTATCTTCTCCCATCTGCTTGCTTTACTTTGCTATCTTTTTTTAGGTTGTTCAGATGTGAATTTAGATTATTGATTTGATAATCTGTTTTCTCTTGTGTGTGTTTATGCTGTAAGTTTCCTTTTTAGCAGGGTTTTAGCTGTCTCAAGTTCTAGTGTTTTCATTCAGTTTAACATGTATTTTGATTTCAGTTGAGACATTATCACATGGATTGTTTAGAAGTATGTTGTTCTGTTTCCAAGTGTTTGGAGATTTTTCCAGTTACCATATTATTATTGGTTTCTAATTTTATTCCATCGTGATTTGAGGCTATGTATTTTATGATTTACATTCTTTTATTGCCCAGCATTTGGTCTCTTTCCAAGTATGTGTTTCACTTGAAAAGAAGGTGTATTTTGTTGGTAGGAGGAGTGCTCTGGAAGTATCAATTTTATCTTTTTATTTTTTATATTGATATTCTTGTGAAATTTTCTGTATCCTTGCTGATGTTATCTTATTGTGCTGTCAGTTTTTGCTTCACATATTTTGCAGTTCTGTTTGTTGCATATGCATTGAGGATTGCTGTATCTTCATGGCAGATTGGCTTTTTTAAACATATGTATATGTCCTTCTCTAGCTCTGGTAATTTTCGTTGATATTAATGTAGTCAATTCTGTCTTTTGATTAATCTTTGCATGATGTATCTTATTCCATTCTTTTATTTCCAACTTATCTATATTGTATTTAAATTGATTCCTGCTATTTTAAAGTGAGTTTCTTGGAGACAGCATATGGTTGGGTTATGTTTTTTAATCTCTTCTGCCAGTCACTGTCTTTTAATTGATGTATTTAGATCATTTACATTTAATTTTTGATATGTTAGAACTTTAAGTGTACCATTTTATTTTGTTCTGTATTTTGTTTTTGTTTTTCCTATCTTCCTGTGAGTACTTTGACTATTTTTTTGTTTCATTTTGATTTATTTATATATTTTAGTGTGTCATTTTGTGCTGTTGTATACCATTTTTTTTTTTTAAATTTTTAATGTTTTATTTATTTCTAGGAGAGAGAGAGAGACAGCTTGAGCAGGGGAGGGTCAGAGAGAGGGAGTCACAGACTGAAACAGGCTCCAGGCTCTGAGCTGGCAGTCAGCACAGAGCCGGACGCGGGGCTCGAACCCACGAACCGCGAGATCATGACCTAAGCGAAAGTCGGACGCTTAACCGACTAAGCCACCCAGGTGCCCCTGTTGTATACCATTTTTAATGGTAGCTCTGAATATTACACTAACTGTATTATACATAGTTTATCATAGTTTACTGGTGTCATTTTTCTTGTCAGTTTGTAAAGTATTATAGAAACCTTACCTCCCTCTATGTCCCTTTACCCTTCTCATTTATAATTTTCATAGATATTTCCTCTACATACATTTAGAACCACATCATACAGTGTTATATTTTCACTCAACCATCAAACATAATTTAGAAAGCTCAAGAGGAAAAAATAGATTCTGTTATGTTTGCCCATATTGTTATCTTTCTTCATTTGTAATGCTCCAAGTTTCTGTCATTTGTTCTTTCTTTCTTTAGAGAACTTTAAGCATTCTTTTAGATCTGCTCATGACAGATTTTCCATCAGCAGGGATTTCTTTGGGCTTATCCTAACTGCGGTTTGTTGAATCTGTAGGTAGGTTTATGTTTCTTGACAAATTTGGAAAATTTTCAGCCATTTTGTCTTCTTCCTGGAACCTGAAGATATAAATGTTTAATATTTTGTTATAGTTTTCACACATCCCTGGGACTATCGTCATTTTATCTTTTTTCTCTTTGTTGTTCAATATATTGTCCTGGTTTCAGGTTCACTGATTCTTTTCTCTATCCTTTTTATTCTCTGGTTTAGCTTATCCGCTTACCTTTTTATTTCTATTGTAGTTTTAATTCTAAAACTTGCCATTTGATTATTCTTTGTGCCTTTTTATTTCTTCACTGAGGTTTTCTATTCATTTTTTTCAAGTAACTTTGTGATTTCTAGTTAAAGCATTTTTACTATGACTACTTTAAAATCTTTGTCAGATAATTTTAATATTTTGTCATCTCAATGTTAGAATCTATTGATTGCCTTTAAAAAAATAAGTATGAAAATTTTCTGGTTCTTAGTTGTGTTTTTTTTTTTCCCAGCAACACGTGATTTTCATTTGAAACCTGGACATTTTCATGTTCTGCTATGAGACTGAATCTTATTTCAGCCCTCAATCTCAGTTGGCTCTCTCTCCCAACCACTCTGGCAGAGGAAGAGAAGGCACTGCTTCATTATTGCTAGGTGGAAGTAGAAATCCAGGTACCCTAATCAGCCTCCTTAGACACCCTGGCATCCCCTTGTCCCTGCTGGAAATGAGATAGATGTTATATCTATGTGGTTTTCACTGACACCACAGGTGGCAGAGGAGGTGGATTCATGGTAGCCCAGCATGGATGGAAGTCTAGGCTCCCCACTCAGCTTTTGTTAGCCTTGGGTGGGAATGAAGCCATAGTTTTTTCTGTGGTGTTTAGCTGCAATGGAGCGATTATAGTCTAAACTTTTCTATCTTCCTAAGCTGTCTTTTTGTCTTTCCTCATTTTTTTGCTGGAGAAATCAGGTGGTGGTGTTTTATTTGTATGTGCCTCTTAGTGTTTTCAGCGTCTTCAGCAGCAACTGTAGGACATGAGACAAAAAAGAAAACCCAGAGACTCACCACCATGTTATGTTGTTCCTTGGCTCCCAAGGCCCCTAGCTGATCTGTTTACTTGCCTTCATCTTTTAGAGCTTTCTTATGTTTGTTTGCATATGTATAATGTCAGAGATTTTTAGTAGTACTTTGTGGAAAGAAGCGGCTAAAGTACATCTATCCTGTGTCCCCAGGAAGTCAGTTTCAGTATTGACTTTTTTAAAAGTGTGCTGGATAGACTAGCAGTGTGTAAAATTTCAAAGATTATAGAATCTGCATCCATTTTCATACAGAGGCTTTGCTAGTAGTAATTGAACCATCTACACCCATAAAACAAACCACCCTTTGGCAGCATTGACCTAGAACATACCAAGTGCTAATGGGAAAACAAACAAATTAGACTCTGATCTCCTAGTCTAATTGGGACAAAAAGACCAACATACATAAAATAATCAGAGGAAAATGCTAAATTGCATGATAATGAGAAAACAGATGTCATCAGTAAATATGAAATTTCACACTAAATGTATTTTCTGTAGCCTTCTTAGGAGTAGTTTGTTCTTTTTATTCAGTTGGATTTTTTTTTTTTAAGTTTTTATTTAAATTGCAGTTACCATACATGCAGTATTAGTTTCAGGTGTACAGAATAGTGATTCAGCACTTCATACAACACCTGGTGTTCATCCTTAATCCTTATCACCTGTTTAACACATGCTCCCACCCACCTCCCCTCTGGTAATCATCAGTTTGTTCTCTATAGTTAAGAGACTGTTTCTTGGTTTGTTTTCCCCCCCCTTTCTTCCCTCCCATTTGCTCTTTTATTTTGTTTCTTAAATACCACATGAGTGAAATCATGTGTTTGTCTCTGACTTATTTCAGGTAGCTTATTACTCTCTAGCTCCATCCATGTCATTGTTAATGGCAGGATTTCATTCTGTTTTTTTTTAATGGCTCAGTAATACTCCATTGTGTGTGTGTGTGTGTATACCACTTCTTTTTTTCTTTCTTTTTTCTCAGATGTAGGATTAGTTGAGGGTTTATGACCAAGGTGAGAGTATGTTCCTAGTATCCTGAAGTTTAGAGAACTCTCCAGAGGGCTTGATTTAGGGTTAGAGTTACGGTTAGTGTTACAGTTTTAGGGTTAAGTTTAGGGGTTAGGATTGGGATTTAGGGTGTTAGTGGGTTTTTGTTAATGAGAGACGATGTTACTTGAATGACGGTTTATACACAGTGTGGTTCAATGAGGTAAGCACAGAGTTCTTCCTATATGCTGCTAACATATGTTTACAAACACATCTTAATGAAAGAAGGTATTACTTGAAACATGTATTATACACCATATAGTTAGATTCAAGTATAGGTCTATTCCCACATGCTTCTACACATCACGTTTACAAAAATAGGTATCAGTATTTTATTTGAAATCTACTGTGTGCCCAACTAATGTGCTTAGATCTAGGATATAAGTGTTGGCAAGATAGATTTCTTGCCTTGTAGGAACTCTCAGCTTTAGTTGGAACCAAGGATGGGAAGCAGATACAAAAAAAAAATTAGACCTTTAAAATTCTAACAGTGTAATGTGATGTATATTAATGGTAATTATATTCATGCAGAGTACAAATCCTACAAGGGTAGAGCCCTGATTAGGGTCAAATGAGGCCACAGAGAGGGGCGCCTGGGTGGCTTAGTCGGTTGAGCATCCGACTTTCGCTTAGGTCATGATCTCGCAGTTCGTGGGTTCGGGCCCCGCGTCGGGCTCTGTGCTGACTGCCAGCTCAGAGCCTGGAGCCTGTTTCAGTCTGTGTCTCCCTCTCTCTCTGACCCTCCCTTGCTCACGCTCTCTCTCTCTTCTAGAAATAAATAAAACACATTAAAAAATTAAAAAAAAAAAAATGAGGCCACAGAGAAATGGTGATAGGTCATGTTTAGAGGTTAACTAAATAATGGGGGAAAAAAAAACTGGGATGGAGAACATCCCATGCGAAGGAACCCATGTAAGGGAGCTTGGCAGAGAGAGTGGAGCATGGCATTATATTGAGGTTCCAGTGTAATAGTAGGGTTTGTAACTTTATACGTTTGCCAGCAACACAGCTGATTTTGTAAAAATGTTTACATTTTAATGATTCACATTTTTTGCTGTGATCCAAGTCAGTGAATTTTTATTCCGTTAAGATAACAAATGTCTAGAAGTTTTAAAAAATGTATTTATGAATATGCTAGGGTTATTGGTATGTGGTGTTTTCTATAGATGGTAAACTAACCAGTTCTCTACTAAGATACTGATATTAACTACCTGTGTGTGATTTGAAAAAAATTCCATATTCCTGGTATATATTGTCAAAGACAGCACTAAGAAGGGTCTCTTAAAGTTCTAGAACAGAAAGAGTTTACTTTGCCTGGTCTTAACTATCCTTAACAAGAGAGATTGTTTTCTTTGGGAGCCAATTTTATTTTCATCAGAAGGTAGATCTTCCACATTATACCTCAGTGCTGATTAGCAAAAGGAGATAAGACAATGTGTATGAATATGATGCTTCTACCTTACTCTAGAGTTTCCTTTTTAGATTTTATGGAATGTGATTAACTTCTCTGAAAAGCCTGTGATTAAATCATAATGCTATCTTGTGTTTATATTGAGCCAAACATAGCTTATATTTGGAATTCTATCCTTGGAACATTTTTAGAAAAATACTGTTTTGGTTATATGGTCCAGAGATTAATCTGTTTTTATTTCTTATTGCAGATGGAGTCTGGTGGTACAGTTTTGAGTACCAATTGGTCTGATGTAGGTAAAAGGAAAGTTGAAATCAATCCTCCTGATGATATGGAATGGAAAAAGTACTAAATAAATTAATTTGCTATCACTGTATTGCATATATTCACCTAATGCCCATTGTGTATTAATATTGCATTCATGAATTTTGAACACTGAGTATCTTTTTGAAAGGTTATACCTCTTTACCTCTTTGTGCTTTAGAAATTATTTTCCTTCAAGTATTCTAAGAGTCTAATGAAGAACGAAGATCCTGTTATATCACTTTTGTCCTTAAGGATTTCAGACATGCTGAGATGGAATGAAGTATCATTGGCTACTAGATAGAGTAGTTCTACCTAGTTATGAAAGTGGAGAAATCATTAATGGATATTTTGGGTTATTGCCTTATTTTTGATGAAGTATTATGTTAATAATTTATTAGACATGGCAATTTTGGGTGAGCATAGATTTTTTTCAAGTGTTACATTGTTTGCTTTTAAAAACTGCTTTTGGATGGAGTTGTAAATACAATTTTTCTATGAAGTTGTTTGGTTTATTTACCTGTTTCTTAAGTTTTTTAATGAGAACTTTGAGAAATTATCACAGGGAATTCCTATTTGGTTATATGGGAAATACTTGTAATCACACTGAGATTTTGGTCCTTACTTTCCAAATTCCTGTATGAAACATAGAACCTGAATTTAACATGCTGCAAATTTATCTATGCTGAAGGATAATCTGTGAAATTGGGGCAAAGACTGATTTAGGAAGGCCCAGCTCTCTTTCTTACTGGTTTTTTGTTTTTTTTGTTTTTGTTTTTGTTTTGCCACATCCGGAGTCCTGAAATAACTGGTAGTTTAGTTTGGTTTGGGGTTTTGTTGTTTTGTTTTTTGTTTTTCTGTTACTTTTTTTTATTTTATTAGAATATTTCCTTCTCATGTCCCCATGGTCACTTTGGTTTCAGTGGTTTAGGGTAGCTGCTGAGAGAGTAAATTAACAAGTATATATTTAGTATGTACTGTTTCTAGAGTAAATAGATACCATGGGAATACAAAAAGTGAAGACATAATCATTAACTTCAAAGAGCTTATAATCTAGCAGAGAGAAAATGAACATTCATGAAAGAATTATGGAACTCATTATAAATAGTTTTGAGACAGAAGAATAGTGTTTTATGATTAAAATTCTTTGCAGTCTAAGCTGTTACAAGTCTAGGCCATTGATGACATGAAGGTCTGACTTTGCTTTCTGACCCTGATTGTTAAGTGTGCTGCCATAGAGGTTGGGGTCTCTCCGGTGTCACATGTGGCAGGGCATTTCTGTGCCCTCCTAGCTGAAGATAGAGTGAGCAGGAGGCAAATCATCCGTTGGTCCAGCTTCCAACAGAGTGGGAATTCCGTCCCTTCCATCTGGTTGTTTCACTTGAAGTGTAGTGGGCTTCATGAGGAAAATGGTGGTGGGGTGATAGCCGACCTTGCCCAAATTGCACAAGCTTGTGTAAGCAGCTAGAAGGTGTCACTTGTCCTTCTGCCAGCTTAGAGCTACAGACTACATTTTTTGTTCTTCAGCATTGAAGGAAAAGGTAAAATTCAGTACTTGCTTATATGAATTTCTAAAATTTTCTTCTTGAGGAAACTGGATAGTAGTTTTAGTATTCTGTATGTCAGAGTTTCTCACTACCATTAGTCCTAAGAGGTAGGGAGGCTTTGCCTCAGATGTCATAATTTGGGCATACAGCACCACACCACAGACGGGAATCCTGCCTCTAGCAAATCTCTGCCAAATAGTGTTACAGTCTTCAATAGGTTTAGCCTTTCTTTGTCTTAGTTTCTTTAGTTGTAAATAATCTTTAGAGTCTTAGAGTTAGAAGTCCATGATTCTAAATAAAGAACGTTTTTGCTGCTAAAGGACTTTTTTCTTTCTTAGCAAGGACACTATTGTAATAGAAGCTGTTTTTAAAAAGAATTCTAGTACTAGTTTTGCTTGTACTTTAAAAGGGTACACTGTATCTAAAGTATGCTTATCTGTTGACTAGATTTGCTTAATGTTTGGGATTCAGGATTTTGCTGAGCCAAATGGAGTTCCTGATATACATGACTGTATTATAAAATGGATCTGATCCAACCAAGTACACTAGATTTATGGGTAAAGAAAGGACTTTGGAGACGTGGATTAGACTGCTGTATGAGGTACCACTCTGGAGTACTGTTTCTTTGTCACCATTCTAGATAATGAGAATGTAGAAGCCTCCAGGAAGTTAAAAAACAAGAGCAACCCTCCATTTCCATTTAGAATCTCTTTATCCTTATTCTCTAGATTCTCAGCTATTAATTGGTCTCTCTTTCTAGACTTCCATTTTCAGTTCTTAAAGTTGGTTTTCTTAGTGTTCTGGTTAACTTTTTGTTCAGAATGTACTTTTTTTTTTTATCTCTCTCTTATTATTTCTTATTTTCCTTTCTAAGGATTAGTCCTGTAGTACATTTTTTTTCCTTAACCTTAGATTCTTCATCTATGCACCTGATTTTTATAATCATTTGCACCTTGATGACTTCCCAGAATCTCATATTATCCTCAAAGAAATTTGAATGGGATAATCTACTTCTTTGAACTCTTCTGTCAAGTAAGCTCTTTAGATGGCTATACCACAGGTTTAAACATTGTCCTAACTCATTTAGAGTTGGTTGCCAGCTATAAGGAAGTTCAGTCTTCAACATTGGTAATTACAGGCCACTTTAAAAAATAATTGATTTTCTCTATCTTTATGTGTAAATAGAAAGGATGGTTTGTATTTATAACTACAATTTTAAAAACATACTCATTTCTTAGATTTATGATATTCGCTAACTTCAGAACATTGAATGATTGTTTCCTGAGACTAACAGTGTAGAATAAGGGAGAAAATTGGACTGTCTTATAAATATATGTCTATAAATTTCGAATATTAAAATGGTATGTTACTACATTAATGTGAATATGTAGAAATTTTAATTTAGTTCAATAACTTAAATATTGTCTGTACCATTTTACTTTCCTCTTCTCTTTCCCCAGTTATCTACTTATCAGATTAGGTCATTGATCTCTGCAATATATCACTGATTCAGAGCAGTATTGCCTATTAATTTACCATCTGATCTGCCTAATGCAGATCTACTAATTGTATTGGTATCTTGTCCAGATTAGTGTGCATCTCTATGACTTGTAGCTATTACTGACATTTCCAAAAATAATTCAGAAAATTTCTGGGTGGGTGAGTGGTTTGTTAGGAGAGCTACTTTTCTTTGTAACCAGCTCTAAAGAAGTTTACCTTTAGCCATTCGTACCTGTTATTATATAGTCTCATAAGAATATGGATTTCAGTTATCTGTGGCTCAGAGGAACCAAGGAGAGAATATAATAAAAGCTTAAAAGGACAAAATAATGCTGTCTGTGCCAGAAAGAGTTATAAGTAGTAAATAAGAGATCATCAACATTGACTGGTTTCCTTTGTCTCCAACCATGCATATTCTATTGTAGTTCATTTTAAACCAAGAGATTTGGGGGCGCCTGCGTGGCTTAGTCGGTTGGGCGTCCGACTTTCGCTTGGGTCATGATCTCGCGGTTCGTGGGTTCGAGCCCTGCGTCGGACTCTGTGCTGACTGCCAGCTCAGAGCCTGGAGCCTATTTCAGTCTGTGTCTCCCTCTCTCTCTGACCCTCCCCTGCTCACGCTGTCTCTCTCTCTGTCTCCTCCAAATAAATAAAAATATTTTTAAAAAAATTAAATAAACCAAGAGATTTGATTTTGGAAATGTCTGGGAACTTGTGGGCAAATTGGAAACACTGATTTACTCACAAGTGTTACTGTTTCGACCATCCTTATGATTTGTTTCTGAAATTAGCTCTTAGCCTCTCTTCCTACTTCTACCTACCGACTTCCTACCCCCCAAATCAGCTAAAATCCTATATGTTGCTAATCCATTAGGGCAGTAACAGTGGCAGCTATTCTCTACTAATACATTTTGTGGGCCAGGTGTCACTAAGTGCTATATATACACTACCTCATTTATAACAGCCTTGTGAAGTAGTGATAACATCTTGTTATATCTCAGAAAATTGAGGCCAAACTTAAGTTCTTTGCCTAAATTTACTCCACTGATAAGTGATGGAGCAGGGATTTAAACCCAGGCCTGTCAGACTCCACTGCCATGCTGTAACTGCCTCTTCAGGTTTATGAGTTGGGTGTGCAATGAGTGATTTTTATTACCTGTCTGACAAGCAGAAACCATGCAAATTGTATTGTTTGATTCTACTTATATGTGGGCTGGGAAAGCATATTCTTCAAGGTCAGAATATTATCAGTTTCTTAAGTAGGAAAGCCTATTAGGAATATAAACCTCTTGTTATAGAAGGTACTATAAGCAGGTTGTCTTGATTTGTATTGAAGATACTGAATTATTTTTAAATCCAAGTAATTACAGAGAAACAAGATACCCTCAACTATTACAAATACTAGAAGCCTGGCACATCATGCTGATCAAATTCTTGGGATAATAATGATATCCACCTTGTAGGCTGTTAGGAGTTAAAGGAGTTTATTTTGACCCAGAGAGCTCTAAAGACTAAATTTGTCTGTGAACTTACAATATGAAGTCCTGTTTTCCTGCAGAAATATTAATATGTTTAATTACAGAATGCTAGCACAGATCCTGCTGCTGTTAAAAAATAAATGCTATATCTATATTGTATTCTAAAATCCAAAGTTCTGAATTGAGAAACACATCTAACTCCAAGGGTTTTGAAAGAAGTATGTATCTGTATATATAAAGTGCAAAGTGTAGTGCTTAATATTACAGTTAATGTCCGATTATTTTATATGCATTTAGGCTGAGAGGCTTAAATCCTATAGAAAGCCTTTTTGTTACAAGTTCAGTCCTGTAAAATTCAAGATTCTGTCTGAGAAAAGTATCAGCTAATTAAAAATTGTTAGTATAATTTTTAAACTTTATACTTTTGAAGCATAAGAGTTCATAGGAAAACTCTTTAATTTCAATGGATAGTTATTTTAATTAAGCAGAGCTTAAATATATAGACATTTTGTCAGCAGTATTTTAAAAGGACCCATGAAGTATAATGGTGGCGGAAGACACAAAGTATGTAGCATGTTAAGGGACTTCTTTTCAGAAGTTTTTTGGTCTTCATTCCATTTTAATTTAAATGTCAAAATAGAGTAAGACTGTTAGGATTTATAAAAACAAGGTGTAAAATCACACCACTTTATAAACCATGAATTGTGTCCCGTTATTTCCATCAGTGTAGAGAAGCTGATGTTTTTTAAAAGTTCATCAATCCTATTTTATCACCAAAGAATGAGGAATGTCAGCCTTAAAAATAAAAGAGCCAGTTATTTTACCAGCAAAATGAGTTAATTTGGGAATAGCAGAAGAAATGCAGTTTGGAACATGAAAACTATGGCAAACCATAGGCAACTGTGGGAATGAAGGAAAAGGGCTTGCTTTTATAGAGGAAAGGAAGAAGTTGGGAGGGGGGTTTGAATGAAAGTTTGGAG